TATAAACACCATCCCCGCAAAAGTCACGACCTATATGTTTCAATCCATTCATTCCATGTATTTTGAGGTTTTTTAGAAATGGAAGTTGCCACAATGGTGGTAAATGTTCACACTTCTGAAAGTTTAATAAACCAACAGTATCTAATTTCGAGAGTGAACTATTCCTTATCCAACTTGGAAATGAGGCACCCCCATAGTTTTCAATCCTCAGCTGTTTGAGGTTTGTGTGAGGTTGAAGACCTTCAAGTACCTCCTCATCCAAAATTTCATTCTGCAAACTAAGAAGATTTCTTTCACTCCAATGCAATGTCAAGTCATGAATGTCAGGTTTACTCATTAAACTAGCTTCCTTGGCCTTCATCACATTGATGACATTCTCCAGCTTTGAAATACGAAGTGCTCCTCTAAGATTCACAAGATCCTTCAACTCTTCTACTCCACAACCACTTGTTTTGGTCACAACAAAACTTGACAAAGTCTGCAAACTAGTTAACCTTCCCATTCCTGGCGGTGTTGATATCAACCTAGAGAATGGGTGCAGCTGGGAGCTTCTTTCAACAAATGGAAGAACATTTGCTAATAAGTTATTGTTAAAAGAAGTGTCCATATCTCGTAGGTTTATCATGTTCCTAAGGTATTTTGGTAACTCGAGAAGTCGTCTATCTGAAAAGGGAAGTATCCTTAACAACACCGTACTGAAGGATATATGCAGATGCCGTAGATTTATCAGATTCTTCATATCAATCGGCAACTCAAGAAGCTCAAGACATTTGATCAATTTCAGAGTTTGGAGATTAACCAGAGTGGTTGTAGATTGTGGCAATCTTTTAATACGAATCCAAGAGAGATCAAGATATCTCAAATGCTTCACGTTCCCTACAGAACCTGGTAGCTCAGAAATGCTGGTATGGCTCAAATCCAACACACGTAAGCGTTTCAGTTTCAAGAATAGATCATTAGGGATGTGTTCAATGCGATATCTGTAACCCCCCATAAAAAGCAATGTGCGCAAGCTATTGGATTTGTACAAAGCATCATAGTCTACTCGTGCTAGTTCACCAATTATGAGGGATACATGGCGAACATTTCTGAATATATTACATACCTCATTAGCCCCATTAGCCTCGAACTTAAAGCATTCATCGTGCATGACAGATTGTGCTAAATCGTGGACGAGACCATGCATCTTATACCTTGATCGGCCATCCAAAGGATCAACATGTGAATATTGAAAGAAAGACTTGGACAAAAGCTCAAGAAAATATTCGTTACCAGCATCTTCCAATTGTTTACTTCCCTTCGACTGGACAAAACCTTCTGCGATCCATAACAAGACTAAGCTTTCCATTTGAAATATGTACTCCTTGGGAAACATTGAGCAAAAGGCAAAGCAAAGTTTCAAATTTAGAGGTAGTTGATGATAACTGGTTCTTATGTTAGGCAAGATATCGTACTTGTCCTCTGGCAGATCGCATATATCAGTTTTTGAGATAGTATCCCACTCCTTCTCGTCTTCAACAAACTTTAAATGGGCTCCAAAATTCTTTACTGCTAAGGGTGAACCCTGACACCTCTTGACAATTTTCTTACCAATTGTTACTACATTTGGAGATAGATCCAAAGAATTGTTTGCGAATGCACGTCGTTTGAATAATGACCAGCAATCTTGATCTGATAAACCCTCTAAGCAATGAGCTTTGACAGTGCCCATGATCAAAGAAACTATCTTGCTTCTGTTGTAACAATGATTCTACTACCTTCTGCGCCAACCTTGAATGGAATCTGTAGGCTGTCCCAATTAGTTTCATTCTCATTCCATACATCATCCAAGACGAGCAGAAATCGCCTTCCTTTTAGCAAATTCTGAAGCTGGCGCTGCATCAGATCCATGTCCAAGAGATCAGTCCTGTTCCCAGTTGCAGATTCTATAATTGCTTTGGTTATATTTCTCACATCAAAATCCTCACACACACAAACCCACATTCTTAGTTCAAAATGTTTATCCACTCTCTCATCGTTGTAAACAAGTTGAACAAGAGTGGTCTTCCCAATTCCTCCCATTCCAACTATGGGAATAACCGAGACCCTTGCTACATTGGATTCTGCTGACAACAACAACGATATAATTTTTGCTCTATCATCACTTCTGCCAATTACACTTGAATCATCTATTAATGAACTAGTTTGTAGTCTTTCTTTGATTCCATAGCTCCACATTCCAGTTCCCTCTCTCAAACGAAGGTCCTCCCTCTCTTTTGCAATCTCCTCTAGTCTTTCAATCACATCATCTATCTTAGATGCTATACTAAAGGATGACAAGAAATTTCTTACTTTGTTTGGCCGAAGTGCTTCGGTCACCATCTCATCTAGTAAGTCATCAGCATCATATGCTTCATCTTTAAGATCCCTTAGCCAGATTCTCACTGCATTCTCTTGTGTTTGCCTTTGCTCTGCATCACTGAGCACTGCTTGAATTCTTGATAAAATTCTAGGCAGCTTCTTCAGCTGTTTGTCAACACATCTTTGTAATCTAAACTCTTCTAGGATTGGGGAGGCTAATTGTTGAAACACAACTTGTAGAAGAGCAGATAGAACTGCATCTGCCATGTTGTCTGGTACTCTTAATCAAAGAAATTGAAGCTTCTCTTTGATACTTTTGGGAGGATAGAGCATGAAGTAGGAAGAGAAGACGAAGACTTTCTTTTTTTGTTCAACTATGGACCTTATCATACATATTGGACTAGCGCTTTGAGCTTTCTTCACAAATTAATGAATTATAAGGGCGAAGTTGTCGAAACTCGAAACCACATTCGAACATATGGTAATTTGCGTAAACCACACTGAAACATTTTAATTTGAGATTACACTACTACGTTAACAGATCTATTACCCAAACGTTTGCTGACTAGGATAAAATGGGGTCAATTTGTTAAACTGTAATACCCACTGATGTATGCAACCCTTCTTCCTCTCTCATCGCTAAAACCACTACAAACACCCTAAAAACCAAATCTTTCAGTGGTGGCGCCACCTTCTAGTAAGTAGTAACCCCAACCATACTTCATGTCTACTGCTCTTGGTCTTACGAATCTAATTTAGTGTAAAAGCTATTATGATAGAGCTGCTCAAATATACCTTCTTCACCTTTTCATCTTCATTTAAATCCATTGAAATTTATTGAAGAAAATATGGAATGAAGAGATTTGATTCAAAAAATATTCAAAGAGTTATTGAAATTTACGAACATTTGGTCCATTCCTTGTCTGATTCAAGGAAATGGCCTTTTTCTGTACATTGCTTCTTTCATCTATCCTAACTCCTAAGGACAACTTACTGAAGTACTGTAGTGAACATATGGATCTGCCGAAGCCTAACTTCATATATATATGGCACTAAAAGTAAAAATTTGTTGGCACATTTGAAAGCACATACTCTTTTTTCGGATAGAGATTTCAGAATTCTTGCACCTTAAAAAGACATATGTAGTGATGAAATTCAAAATTAAGGTATTACTAGTGAACTTCCCTCATGGTTTTCAAATTTATACGTACATGTAATTTAGCCTACTTGACAGAAATTTCAATGAAATTTAACATACATGATGGATTGATGGTTTTGCATGATTAAATAGCAAAAAGCAACCTTAGAGCAATAGCATACAAAACAGATAGTTATTGAACCTTAAATAAGGCTACAAATGGACTGCAGGAGTTTTTTTCCTAATGCTGTTACTGCTACTGTGCTTGTCGAATTGGCAAGAGGTTTGGGATTGGGTGTGCAGGGCCTAACTGTGAATGCTTTGGTGAAGTGAAGTGCAGACTCTGCCTCATAGATGTTGCTGGTTGAATGTGCATAGTCATGGGAAGAGGCCACCTGATGCTTTCTTGTTGCTGAACCTGGATGACGCGTATGGGGCTGGCAGGCCAGGGACAGTGTATTTCTATTTTCTGTTTCTGTTCTTTTCATCAATGATACTTTTGTACAATTTAGCTTGTTGTTTAAAGGAATGAATGAAAGATTTTTACTTTGATAAAAAAAAAGGTTACAAATGCTTTTGATTTTTAGTTAAGGTTTGCTCTCTTTTTAGCTGTACATGAGTCTGAAGTCTGAACTGAAGTTACTTCCCCTCCAAAAAAATTCTCCTGTGAGTAAAAGAAATTTGACAAGCCTAATCGGCATTGGGTTCTGGTTAAAAGTTTAAAACTATAATTTAGCCAAGTTCAAGTGTTTAGATAATTAGACTACTGTACCTTACTTTTCCCTACTGATGTTTATTTTGAACCCAAGCTGTGCACTTGTGCGTTTGAGAATTCAAATCATCTTCTGGCCTGGGAATTGGGCAAGGAGCCCATTTCTAGTTCAATGAAGTTGAGTTTAGTATGGGTATAAGGTCCGTTTCTAAGAGATCTAAGACATATGAAAAGGTGCCGTGGAGATTCCTATAGCTCACGTTCGATCAGTATGTATGCCTATGCAGGTGTTGTAAGGGGTTTGACCAGGTTGGAGACTAGTAGATTATACAGTATTGTGAATGTTAATCTGGTTTAGATAACTTTAAAATGCGTGCTGTGCTGTGATGGTTACTTTTTTTTTTTTTTACAAGCAAAAGGTGCTGTGATGGTTACTACATTTTAGGATGTGAATACATTATGTAGTAGTACTGTATTTTACCCATATATTTGGCAGGCTGCTTTTAACTATGGCGACAGTTCTAGGTGACTCGGCTACTTATCTGGATTAGATTAACAGGTGAGCATGAAGTTTCATGGACTGTGAGTTTGTGACCTTCTATAGTCCCATTACACTTGCTCAGGATGTCTTCAAGTGGCTGAGGTACGCGTTGACGCTTAAAATAAACAAATAACTAAGCATATATTCCACCCACGAACTCTGTCAGGTTAGAGTAGCATACTAGTTTAGTCCCAACATTGGCTACAAGTTGAAATCCTTGGAACACACGAGTTATAAAGGCAAAGAACATCAACCGGTTTGAAGCACGCAGCCGCTCGGTGAACACAGAGCAAACTATACTTTCGCCTTTTACTAAAGAATACCATGTGTTCGCTGTAAACAGCGGCATATGCCAATTTTTGAAGGATTTCTCTCTGAGGAAATCCTACAAGGCTACAATTTTCAAAAAAATGTTTTTAATATCAATTGGGCGGTTGGGCCTATATTTGCCACCAGCCGAACTTAATCTCTAAGTGGCTGAGCGCTAGAGCAAATTTTCCTGAGCAATGCAGTATCTCTGTCAAGCCAAATGGCATTGACCCCTGCAAGCTAAAATAGTGAGCAAATTTTTTCTGAGCAATGCACAGTATCTATGAATATGTCAAGCCAAATGGCATTGACGCCACAATAGTGCAAGGCGCGGCAGACATCAAAAGTCCTATTGCAAATTATAGCATCAAAAGGTCTTGAAAATTGCTTGAGATTATATCGCACCTTGAAAACGGGAATTCAGCATATGTTTATTCAGTTGACTAGCTTCACAATTCAAATTTTCAGTTATTCAGTAATACAAATATCAAGTAGAGTATACTGCTCTGCCCACATTTTTATTTTGTTGCTGCATATACAGCAATCTAAATAATACTTTTAAGTTTTAACACATTTACAACATTCTTAGAATTTATTACTACATTCACAGATCCTGTAGATGCACAAATGTTAGACTAAGCAGTGCTTCACCTGGACACTGTCTGAAACACCACTAATTGGGAAAAAGTTAACAAGGAAAATCAATTTAGTCTTCATTGGTGCTTGGAGGGCCCTTCCACTTAAAGTTGTCTGAATATGATTTAACCTGCACGAAAGGCACAATTGCTTACAACTCAACTAAAAGAAACCAAGAGTCAACGGAGCATCATGTAGTCATTATAACTTGACCACTTTTTATATCTAAATAAACAATAAAACATATTATGGGATTCAGCTGTCAGAGATCAAGTGACTTCAGATGCTTCAAAGCTTTAAAATGCTGCCTAATGATTTATCTAATTATTTTAAAACCGACAAGGCTAGTCAATTGATCAAGATAAAACACGATGCAAGTGGAACAATACTTGAAGACATCTAACATTGAATTTTAAGTGAATGGAATCATGGATGATAGATATTTACTCTCCCCAAAGTGACCAAGGTGGCCGAGAAATTAGCTGCACATTAGTTAGGAACACAAGATTTTT